CTAGTATCAGGAAATGATTGATTTAAAGAAGTTATTGAATTATATGTTTGGGAATTATTTGAGATGTTTGATGTATTATGAAATGCATGCGATTACTTGAATTAAATTCAATAAGCTTACCTTGTGTTTCTTTGTGTTGTCTTGTTGTACGTCCGTCTTGTCTTGCAATGATCATCCGTGTGGATGTGAGCAGAAGGTGAGGCGCTGCTTGAAGAGGCGCTCGATGCTGAAGTCTTTGAGGAAGAAAACCTCGTTGAGGTTGAGGTGAAGGCTGAACAGTAGTGCGTTCGGTTATCTGTTAGCTTAGTTAGATTAAAGTACTGTTTTAGAACGACTCTTCCCTTTTTGATTAAAATTGACCGTTCGGTAATTTTGTCTGTTAACCGTTCGGTTATGATTGATTGGGTCGAACGCTGTTATCGGTATTTAATTTCTTGTAAGGCCTTTCGGCCAAAACCTTATTTCTGGTTTAGTATTAAGACTGATTTGGTTTATCATTAATGTAATTAATTCGATTATATGGTGTTTACTGTATTTTTGGGATGTTACATTATTGGTATCAGAGCAGTTTTGTTCTCTTAAGGACACTGTAGGTTATGAGTACACTGTGTTTTTGCTGTGTACTTATTGTATATTTGATGAGTTATTTTCAGCTCTTTGAACATGACTAACGCTCGTTTTTCTCTATTTCCCAGAGAACAAATGGCACCTAGACTTCCTCCTCCACCACAGCCCAATGAACCTGATGCGCTCAACAACACTAGGTTGTTGGAAACTGTGATAGAACGGTTACAACAGCAGAATACTACATTGATGGAACAAAACGCTACTTTAATGCAGCAGCACGAGAATGCTATGCAGAGTTTGGAGGCCTCTCGCGCCAACTCTGAAGCTACTCAAAGACAGTTGATGGATATTTTAGCAGCAACCAGGAATACACCGGGGGCGTCCTCTTCTACCGCTACACCACATGCTGAGTGGAGCTTGGAAAGTTTCCTCCAACATCACCCAGCCAAGTTTAGTGGGACGTGCCTTCCTGATGAGGCAGATCAATGGCTGCGTGACATGGATAGGGTGTATAATGCAAAGAGGTGCTCGGATGAAAATCGTCTGGCTTTCACAGAATACCTTCTGACTGGAGAAGCGAGCCACTGGTGGGCGAGCGTGAGGGCTATATTGATGGACGCTCACAGTCCTATTACTTGGGAAGTGTTCAGAAACAAATTCTATGAAGAGTATTTTCCAGACAGTGTTCGTTTCGCCAAGGAGGTGGAGTTCCTACAGTTGGTACATGGGGGAATGTCTGTTTCTGAGTATACGAACAAGTTCAAGCATTTGGTTCGTTTCAATACCATGGCGACCAGTGAGGAGTGGCAGTGTAGAAAGTTTGAAAATGGACTGAGGAGTGATTTGAAGGTGTTAATTTCCAGCTTATGTATTCGGTCATTTCCTGCAATGGTTGAGAGGGCTAAAGTATTGGAGAAAAATATGGCTGAGGCAGAACAACACAAGAAACAACAAGCAACTAGAGGACCAATTCTACCAAGGACGAACCTGAATCGGAATAGGACACCGTACGCTCGTCCAGCTCAGACGAGTGGTTCTCAAGCTTTGGTGGTTGTTGGACAATCAGGACAACAAGGGATGGTCAGATGTTTTCAATGTGGGGGACCTCATTTTAAATCCGTATGCCCTCAGTTGGTTGGAGGAAAATATTGCACTCGGTGTAGGAGAAACGACCATCTGAAGAACGAGTGCAATATGGGCGGACGTGCTGTTATGAGGCCACCGAACACTAGAAGGAACCAGCAAGGGAGAGGTGGACGAGCCCAAGCTGTTGGGCGTGTGTATGCAATTACGGGAGCGAAAGCAGCAAGCTCAGGTACGCTCATCATTGGTACCTGTTTAGTATATGGAGAACCATGTTGCGTGCTATATGATTCGGGGGCGACACACTCCTTCATCTCGAAGGCGTGCATTGAAAAACTGGGGTTAGCTGAGAGCGAGATGCAATTTGATTTTGTGGTGTCAACCTCAGCGGTTGGTGAGGTTAGGACGTCTACCGTATGTAATAGATGTCCTATTGAGGTAGAAGGGCATAGGTATAAGGTGAACCTTATATGATTACCTCTCAAGGAGTTAGAAGTGATTTTGGGAATGGATTGGCTGACTACCAATCACATTCTCATAGACTTTGGTGCTAAGGAATTAATTTTTCCTGGAGAAGATGAAGAAGACTTGAGTGTGACGCTTGGTCAGTTGAAAGAAGATATCATGGAGGGCGCTAGCTGCTTTTTGATAATGACACACGAAGACAGGGAAATTGGAGATAAGAGTTTTGAACGATCGTCCAACATCATTGGAGGATGATCGGTTATAGAAGAGTTCCCGGACGTCTTTCCGGAGGAAGTGCCCGGACTACCTCCCGTTCGTGAGGTTGAGTTTACCATTGATCTGGTGACAACTGCAGCACCCATCTCTGTTCAACCATATCGAATGGCACCAGCTGAGTTGGCCGAACTTAAGAAGCAAATTGAAGATTTAATGGACAAAAAGTTCATACGATCGAGCGTATCACCGTGGGGAGCGCCTGTACTGTTAGTGAAGAAGAAAGATGGCAGCTCTCGGCTCTGCATTGACTATAGACAATTGAATAAGCTGATCATCAAGAACAAGTATCCCCTACCACGAATTTGATGATTTACTGGATCAGTTGCATGGGGCGAACGTATTCTCTAAGATAGACTTGAGATCAGGCTACCACCAGATTCGGGTTAAAGAATGGGACATTGATAGGTGTAAACTTTACTTGTTTTTGTTGCTTAAATTGTTGTGCTTTTGAGTAAGTTTTAGTGTTAATTCTCATTAAAAGTATATAATTGTTGATATAAGTATAATTTTGACTGTTTAAATGTTTTTTGATGCTTTTGTTGTTTATTTTGATGAAAAATAAGAATTGGATACCATCAAAAACTTGGACCACACTCATGGGCACAGTTCTGCCGAGAATTTCACGCCCGGGCGTGAGAAAAAGGGCCCCGAGCGCGATTTTACAGAGAGTTTCACGCCCGGGTGCGAGAAAAAGGGCGCCCGGGCGCGAATTTACAAAGAGGTTCGCGCCCGAGCGCGAGAAAAGGGGCGCCGGGCGCGACTTAGAAGGATGTGCGGACGCTCGTCGCCAAGTGAGCGGACGCTCGTCACATAGCGAGCGCACGCTCATTTCATAGCGAGCGGACGCTCGTTGACAGAGAACGAACGACCATCGAACAAAGCGCAAAGGACGCTCGCCCATCGCAACAGAGGACGCTCGTCCAGCAGAGGACGCTCGTCCAGAAGAGGGCGCTCGTCCGGACTCTCGTCACGCTCGTCCACGCTCGTCCAGAAATGGGACGCTCGTCCAGAAAATTGGACGCTCGTCCAGAAAATGGCCCCGTGACTCAATTATTGAACCCTTCTCTTTAAAAGCTGATTCAGAGGAGTTGCAGAAGTAGATCTAGACGGAGAGGAGACTAGGGGAGACGCTGCAGCAGCTGCCCCAAGTGCTTCCATGGTGGAAAACTACCAATTTCCACCATCCAATCCATCATTTCTCTCTTCTATGATGTATATGTGTAGCTGATGGACAAATTTGTAAGCACCAAAATATGATGTCACAAACTTGTTTTGAGGGGTGTAAACTGCTCGCTGAGCGGCCACTCTGCCAGATTTGGTTTTTTTATGATTTTGCGTTTTTTTGTTTGGAATGTGGCACTATGGCGCTGAGGGGAAATTCTGGCCCCCTCAGCGGTGTGGTTTAGCTTCGAAAAAGGAGTTGTGTTCGTGTTGTTTTACTATGATTAACATATGTTCTGTGGTTTTTTTGTTTTTTTGTGTTTTGAATGTAGGGAATGTGGGCAACAAATACGTCATCAGGGAAAAAAAAGATTGAGAAAAACCCATGGCAACTAAGAGAAAGAAGAAAGGGAAAGGGAAACCAGAGCCAACCCCATTCTGGCAAGGTTCCTCTCTAGGAACATGAGAAGAAGAACTTTAGGGTGGTTCAGGACAGGAGATTCTGATGGAGAAGAAGAAGAAAGGTTTGGAATGATGATCCCTAAACTTTTGATCCTCTCATTTTGGAGAGCAAGTTGTTAGGGAAATGAATTGGGGGGGAAAGTAGCCACTATCCTGCACTGCCAACCATAGCTGTGGTGTGTTAAGGAACTTTGACACCAATGCAAGAAGATTGGTGATGATTCCAGCTGAGGATTATTTGGGCTATGTCAGAGAGGCCCAATGCCTATCAGGTGTGGTGTGATTTTGAGGATGTGGAGGAGTGTTTTTTTGGTATCCTGGAGGCGACACTTTCCAAAGGGAAAGGAATTAGATCTTGGTCAGTGAGTGGTTAACATTATAGGAGGACAGGATTTGACTCCTCTTGCAACAGATTGGATGCATTTTTCTCATGCCAACCATTCAGCAATTGTTCACATGTGTCAGATATTACTCTCAGCAGGGCACTATTCATCTACTATGCTATCAGAAATTTGAATGTTAATATTGGGCAGGTGATAGCTGATGAAATTAGTGTATGTGCTAACACCTCAAACAACAAAGCACCACTAGGACCATCCTTCTTTGATCACTTCACCTTTGCAGCTAGGCTGGGGGTGGATTACTTTCTGTTCACCATGTGACGAGGCAAAAGAAAGAAAAGCTAGGAAAAAGGAAAAGCTATGGATGAGGGCTTATTATAGAAAGTACTGTGGAGGTGAGGATGTTAGGCGCAGCCAGTTTCCACCCGCCGGGGCTGTAGAGACACGAGGAGGGCCAGCACAGAGCCAAGAACATATGCTTGATTACACATAAAGCAGAACCATCCAGATTGAGGGGGACATTGTATTAATATGTCTTTATAGGTGCTCAGTTTTTGCAGTCATTCACAGAGGGCAGGGTTGGTGGTGGCCACTGATGAGTTTGAGATGATAGTGGGGATGTATTGATTACACCTCCAGCCAACAGGGTGGGGACATGGATGAATTCCACAATTGTGTAGTTGCTTGGCCAGAGAAGGAAACCAGTACCTGGAGAGGAGCTGAGCAAGGTTGAATGAAGGCTTCAGCTGAGATTAATGAAGAAGATGCAAAGCTGAGGAGGAGCGATGCATTTGATTTGATGATGAAGATTGAGGAGGGAAGGAAAAAGAGGAAGAAGATAAGCGGACAGTCGGACTGATGAAGGAGCTGAGTTAGATAGCATTTACTGATGAATGCTTATGTATCATATGGATTATGCTTTTGCGGTTTTTTTTTAAGGTTTTCTGAACTATTTTTGTATTGTTTTAGATTAGGGGTTTGATTTTTTTTGTGTACCTCTATTGAAACACCTGTTGTTATGATGGTTGCTTAGTAACTGTGATTGTGTGATGGCAATGCTTGATGTGATGGCTTTATGTATGATGTGGCGCGGATGTGCACATTAAAAAAGGCTTTTATACAGGTTGATTATTCACAAGCTTTTTTGTGAACAATGCCATGCTGATATTCATGGATTGTGATTTGGAGATGATTTTTAAGCAGGATTAGGATTTGTGTATGTCAAATGTGAATTGAGCTATATGTGAGGTTTTGAGCTCCAGAGTTTTTTTGGTTATTGATTGAATTGCGATTATTTTGAAAAAAGACAATGAATGATTTTGCCCAGGTTTTTTCTATAATTGAATCAAAGTGCTTGTTTTGCATAATGTGATCAAGGCATTTGTTGGAAATCCTTTTATTGGCCAAATTCATAAAAGTTAGCTACTAAAAGAGAAACAAGTTGTGTTCTATTCCTTTGAAACCCTTTAGGCCTTGAACATACATTGAAAACCTTTGCTTGTGAAAATCTTTACCTGAGTTAAGTTAGAAAAGGACAAGATCTTGTTCTGGTTATTGTTTTAAATGTTTAGTTTGGGGTTGTTGGGGGGGGAAAACATGAAAAAGATTGAGCTAAAGAGCTTAAAAAGTATAAGAATATGCAAAGGAAAAGAAAAGAAAAGAAAGAGACAAAGCGAAAGCTCAATGCAATGCACAAAGGCAAAGTTGGGGAAAAATAAGAATGAATTGGTTGTTATTGATTCTCTTAAAACTCAAGGATTTTGTTTGATCCAGAAAAACAATTTTCTTGTAGCCCAAGCACCATTATAAGCCTTGAAAGTTCCTTTTGTGATGATTGCATGCTTGTGAATGTTTTTTGATGTGGTTATTAATTAGTATTTTTTAAAAACGAAAGGCCAAAGTTTGATTCATGTGACATTGTGTGTGAAGTGGAGGGAATGAGTGTGAACAGAAACACTTACATCGTTTTATACCACTTTGATGTTGAGTTGAAACACTTTACCCTAGTGAGGAAAATTGGAAAATTATATTCATAACCACATGAACATCAGCTTAATTGATTCAATCATTCATGAAAATAGCATTGTTGGATTTTTTTAAATGACTTTGGGAATTCTAAAGCATGTGCACATAATGATTTTGAAACCTCTTAGTAATTATAAGTTTGAGTTGTGAAAAGTTGTTACTATCTTGAGAAAAAGGATGGATTTTGAGAGTACCTCATATGAATGGTTGGAGATGGAGTAGTAGTTACATTTTGTTTTGCTTGAGGACAAGCAAAAGTTCTACGTTTGGGGGGGTTGTGATAACAGTTGAAAAAAACTGTTTTATTTTCATGCTAAAAATAAAATTGATACTAAAAAGCAACCTTTTAGATTTAGAAGAAGGAAGAAGTAGAAAAACTTAGCTTGAAAATCATGGGCCTTTTATCTATATTATTCAGAAATAAGAGAGAGTGGACAGGGGTTATCTTTATTTTAGTTGTTTTTGTGCAGGTTTTTAAGGTGAAATTTAGTTTTTGAAAGAGAAGAAGAAGTGAAAAGAAGAAGAAGGAGAGAGATTGGAATCATTTAAAAGGAATCAAAGATGAGAGTGCAAAAAAAAAAAAAAAGAGAAGAAAGAAAAGCCCCAAACAAGTCACCGCCTCAGCGGAACATTTACCGCTGGAGCGGCCACTTAGAGGTCACGGGGGGACTTCCGCCTGAGGGCCAACAAAAGGGCCGGCTTGAGGGGAAGAAGAACGAAAGGAAAAGAAGAAGAGAGGAAAGAGACGCGCCACTCAACCGCTGGAGCGGGTTTTTATTATTTTAACTTTACCGCTGAGCGCTCACACTTATGGGGCTTGGGCTTGAAAATTCTTTGTAATTTAGAGGTAGTATTAAGCTTTAGGACGTCCTTAGGGTTTGTAAAAAAATCTTTATTAGCAGAGGAAAGAAAGAGAAAGAGAGAAAAAGAGAGAAGAAAGAAAGAAAGGAAAGAAGAAGGAAAGCAGAAGAAGAAAAAGAAGAAGGAGGG